CTGCAGCACAATTAATGCGTTTTTCAAGGTGGGCCAAAAGTTTCGTACCAGTTCCGTAAAAAAAATTTCAGATACTTGAGTAGTTTTTGTTTTATATCTGTTAACGTAGTAAGAAATACACAAATTATTGCAATAAATGACGGATTTGACTGTGCAACACATTTGTAGCAGGAACATTCCAATACTAATACTACGTTACAACCCAGCGTTAATATGTCTAATCTGCAATAGCCACAGTGTGCCAGATGTCTGTATTGCATTTTGCGGCTATCCTCTTTTGTTTACAAATAAGCAAAAGCTAGCCGGTTATCGCGCGCTAAACACAGAAGCGTTCACGGTGTGCGACAGCAGGAGGCTGCAATTTCGAATAGTGTTTGTTTTTTGAGAAATTTACTACTGAAATTTGAAACTCTGCAAATATGAAACAAACTACGAACGATACTTCCTGTTGATTAAGGTAACACCTAGGCGGTTGATCAATAAAGGTTCTCTCGCAGATAAAGTGAAACTAGGTAGACTACAAACCAGGCCACAGCACTAATATAATCATTTCAATTCTACGTTGTGCCCAACAACTTAGTTCATTGAAGAGCACCTGCAATGCATTTTGAAATCGTAGAGCTATGTGACAGACAATGTGTATTAGACAGCACCACAAAGAATCCACGGCCTGGAAGACTGCATTCATGACGTGACTGGTAACATTTATGGTAGATTATGCAGCGCCGTGATCCGAAATTGCGCGGAACGAATTAAGTTATGGAAGTAATTTTTGAAGGAACACTTGGTTTACACTAATCTGTATAAGTACTGCGGATAAAATTTTTTGGGTAGGGTTATGGAGGGAACAAATACACGTAGAAGGCCATTTTTGGTTTCCATTCTGGGGACATTAAAATAGAATACTAACTTTTGACGTGCTATATACAGCAATGACTATTGTAATCATTCAAATGACTTCATTGACTAAGATGAAAAGACCCTGTATAATACTTAGCAATAGTACTGGGTGTTCCTATTACAATAATCTGCGTATCTCTTACTACTATTACAAATGTGAGATCAAGATTCGAATTCTCAAAGCGCTTTTGTTAAATTATGTTAAGACTTTTAGCCATTTTGTATGTGTTCTAATAGCCATGTAAATCACCAACACGATATTTTAACGGCAACAAAACAACTGGTTCATAACAACAGTTCCAGAAAATATCCAACGATGGATTAGCAATTTGTCGGCTGTAGCGATCACATACATTTTGTGCTCAAACTACTGATCGGCCAAAGTATGCTAAAAGTCGAAAGGGTTGAGACCACAGTAGATAGACAAGAAGAAACCGCCGCTTAGCCAATGACAATAAATATGGACAATAAGCCGAGAAGAAGAAACACAGAACGCAAAACGAAACAGGACTGACTCCAGTTAAATACTCGCGAAGTGTTTTGGGTAACATCCACTCTGTATGAGGACATCGCAAACCTTAGGACTGATGAAGCGAGTAAACCAAGCATTGAAATAGAAACAGCATTCGCTACAACCGCTGTAAAGCAAATGCATCTGATAGTTCTCAAAAGCAACCGTACTCTCAAAAGACCTGTATGTATGTTGGAATTATAATCCAGCCACCTCCCCATGTTTAGCAATCACTAATTAATAGCAGTGGCATGTGATAAACGAGCAAATTCAATACAAAGGCATTATTACGGTTATAAGCGAGCCACCCGAGTTGATTTCAATATAGTGCAGACGGAGACAGTAAAAAAAAAATAGAAATCATACACATTCAAGTAAAGCGATCGATGAAGGATATTACTCAATGAACATCGACGTACCCTAAGCTGCGAAAAATCTTTGTTGGAGTGTCTGAAAGTTCTACGACAGTTACACAGGGGCGACGGAAGCAAAAATACGCGCACGACGAGAACGATATTGACAGAGATAACTAATGACATTGATGAATATTTGCAACGATGGATTCCATGCCACGAAGAATGACCAGAAATTCGGCGAGTAAAATGCCAACACCGTTAAAGCACACTGCACGTATCGACCTCTTAGTTATACAGGGTACCGAGTTTTTAATTGTTGTAGATTGTAATAAGTGTGAAGTCAGACAATGGGCCACAGTTTGGTTTGTTTATTATTTTGAAATCCGCTAAACCATATTTGCAAACAGTAGTGTTGTAACGGCAATAGAGCTTCAATTCAGTATTGGGCTCATGAATGTACATGAACATGTCATTCCAGAAATACTACAGTCCTATTTATTATTTTTTTTGTACCGGCCTCACTATTACCTGCACAAAAGAGAATCGTTGAAAAATGCTTAACTACTTAAATGTTGAAGTATAGGACGCATACGATTTCAGGGCGTAGAATAGTATTATAACACACTCGATTTAGTTTTTCGAACAAGGGATAAGCACTGGTTAGTCTCCAATGAGTGTACGACTTAGTCGGAGAAGATTAAAGGCTTACTATGTAGCAGTTTTGTAGTAGATATACTACGATAGGCACTAATGGGTTGATTTCTGAAAAGGTTCAAATCTTGTCATTCATACCACCACAAGGTCAGCCACCATTACACGTAGGCTTTTTAATTTCTTGAAACTAAAAACGTACGATCTAAATTAAAGATTCCGGTTAAATATACGCCTATGATGCACAATAAAATGTGGAACATATTACGGCTTAGGATCTGCAAGTCGTTAATTTTCTTTCTACAAACCACAGGAAGACAAAATCATCGAATAGAGAAGTTTATAGAGCTCCTGCAGACATTGAAATTGTATCTTAAATGTCGGAAATGCATTTTCTGGACGTGGAGCTGAATTTGAAAATGTTTATTTGACTATAGTACAGCATTACTCTTGTACGATGTGTTAGTACTGTTAATAGTTCAGTATGGTTGTGATGTTTCGTGGCTTAAAGAGAGGTCTGTACTTAACGCGTAAAGGAATAAGTACTCTAGAGCAACGTAGAGCTAATAACAGAATTAGAGCTGACTCTTATGAAAGGTTGAAAGAAGTCTTAAGAAATATCGCAAATAGTGTTAAATATAACATTTCAATAACCGAAGCACTCAAGCTAAGCAATAGAATCCTGAGACTTATTTTTTATAAGATCTTCTAAGGTAAATGCTTACAGTAAGGATTATGGAATTTAGAGTCCACTTCCCTTGTACTAGCTTAAGTAGCTTCAAAAAATTTGAAGAGCATGGGCGCTAATGATGTTTGTAATGGTAGAATATTTTGGCTTCCGCTGAAAGGGGGCAACAATTATAACCTTAAAATGTAAAACAATAATATGCTTTCAACCTAGGGCTACCCATTTCTTATTAGGATCTGCCTTGACCTTGCATAGACTGTGCATATTTGTACAATAAGATATTTCAAATAACTTTCCAGGGCTATTAAAAATGAAGTAAAAACGCATTTCATTTGTTCATCAGTAGATTCGGAGAATTTAACTTCAATCGTAGAAGGTACTTGAAACGCATCTGACAATTCAGAAATTAAAAAACAACTCGAATTCGTTTTTAATTATATTTGCATTATTATTATTGCAAATTAATTGCAAACAGATGCCACAAGAGTTAGAATGTATTTAACAAATATTTTTGAACTCCTTAGGCAAACATTCACGGTACAGGCTTTTTGTTCTTCTATTGTGATTTGGACGCGGTGAAATAGAATATAGTTTAATTAAAATGTAAAAAAGCTTTGTCTTGTTCCATATATCACAGGCCGTCAATTTTGTAATGATGAAGTTCTCAAGACGGTAAAAATCTCCGTCAGACCTATTAATTCTGTCAAACTAACGTGTGTATTTTATAAATGATAAATCTTAACTCAGTTACTATTAACTTTAAAATACTTTACACTATTTGATAGAACTTCAAAAATATTACATGAGTTTTATGGCACAGGTCGTTCCAGTTATTAAGAAAATGAAAAGTTCCACTTGTTAAGAAAAGGAAAAAATATTTAATTTACCATATACGACTTGTATGTGAATGTAAAATGATTAAAAGACTACGCTATAACTAATATGTTGACCAAACTTTATCAAGAACTTCGATGGTCCTGGCTAAGCTGTAAATTGGTCTGGGTTCAAAGAGCAACAATATAAATATAATAATTTCTACTTTTTCTTGGTCGAACCAATAAATATGTTACGTCTCTGTTCATATCAACTTTCGAACTGAAGTCACACAGCTTTGTCGAGGCCTATTGTAGAGGGAATATAGTAAACAGTTAACTCGAAAACCTTTTAAACGGCATTTTGTTAAGGCAAAATTACTCTTGAATATTTATTCGTTTACTATCGTTGAACAATTTCTAACTAGACCTTTACGCGACGATAATATAAACAAATGAAAATAAAGTAAGAGGTTTGATCACTTCACATACTAAAAATAAGCAGTACGTGCTGTTGTTTATTACTATGGGCCTTTATCGCCTACTAGTAGATGAGAATGATCTCCGTTAGAAATTTGTAAAGCCGTAGTCTATTCAGTCCTCTGGCTTATTCGTCTTAGCTGCGACTTGATACAGTACTTGATTATAGTATGATCAAGTACAGCTTGATGATATAGTACTATATTATCTCTCCAAAGCTGTATTGTTTTTTGAATAATATCGCCATGTAATATGTATGACATTACAGATTTTGATCAGTATGTAGCGTGTTCTAAATGTATCAACTAAATTTCCTTTAGAGACGTTTTCTAAAAAGTCCAGGTCTGATGAAAGCAGACTTAATTGCTGCCGTATTCCCCGAGCTTTTGCAATTTTAGAAACAACTTCAGGCAATCATAGTTTTTGACTTATAAATGAAATTTATACCTTATTTGACAATTCTTACATATTATTGGAACCTTTAGGCACCAACACCTCCTGATAAATACTTATTGCTTTAGGCGCTATGAAAATAATTTCGAATTTATAACCTGAAGTGTACTTAGCAAAAATGTAATTAATTCAAAGATTGGAAAGTCTTCTTCCATGTTGAGTTTTACTTTTTGTATTTTATTCCATAATATTTGTCATAAGCATTTCGTCATATTTTACTTTCACTTTGGTCGATGATGTAGGGAAGGTGAAAGACGTCGGCATACAATTATTTATTACTATTATAATATCGTCACGGTTATCAGCTTCATATCCACAGTCTACAAGTAGATTAAGTTGTTTCAATGTTTATCCAATTCAGTGTTCTCAGTATACGGCAGTCAAATTGCAGCCGTCGCTCAGGGTGATGGCGGCACCAAACGCGTTTTTCTTGCTGTTACACATTGTTGCTGTTGTCTTTTTTATTGATAGTCTTGCATGCTCTCTCATTCGTTACTTTCTTCCGTTCGCATCATATATTTCTATATCTAGCATATGATTTTTCTTTCTTCTACGACACATCCAAGGTCACCACCAATACATTTATGTTCGAACAGTTTACTGAATTCACGAACATAGAAGTTACCACAAGAAGTGGTGAGTGAACCCGTTTGTTCTTACGTGCGAAAGACTTCGGTAGTCACGTAATAGGCCATGCTTGATTGTATGTATATATATATATACACATACATATACACTATTTGCTGTGAGTCATTGCACTTGATCCAACTACTGTCATTAGCTTTTTAAGCGTATTTTTCGTTAACGTTGATATCTTAACGATGAAATACTTGACCTTTTTTCGAGATATAAGGTCATTAGTAGATGATTTCAATAACTACGGATCGTGACGTATGCCTGATATAGCTTTTATTATAAAAGTCGTTTTCCGCAGATAATGTCCAAACCTTCAGTTCTGACAAATGAATAAAGAATATACCCCATATTTTACTTTTTATATTTAATATTATTTGTGTTTTTTTCTATTTTGAATAATTTTTCGCTTCTCCTCATCTACCTGCTTGATATTCGTTTGTTCCAGGGTGTTTTAATTTATAGGATTGATGTGACATCATCAGCGAACGACCTAACAAACTGCCTTGAGAGGGTGTAAAAATGACTACATTTTACTACTTATAAATCTGTTACTAGGATTCAGTCATTTTAAAAGTCAAATTAGTGAAAATATTTTGTCTCGATGAACTGATACTGTATGCGTTTGTTAACCCAAGTTAAAGGCGGTGTCACGAAAGACAGCGACTTGCTAATGAGAACAAAGGAGTGTGATGAAGGAACCTGTTTTCCGGACTTTTGTTTCACTCACATATTCTACGTTAGTGTTTTAGGATAAAACTGCTTCCCTCTTTCAATACATGTCTAATGATTATAATTATATTATGGTTTTAATTGAATGACAATTCAGATTCACGCACGATCCCGTAAATAACACTTCGTATTGTTCACCTTATTTGAATGTTCATTACACGTTGTGAAGCATCGAGTGTCCTGTCCAGAGCTCGCCAAAATTCTTGGTTTTTGTCAAAATGTTGGCGAATCCATCAGGCACTTTTAGCTTAACATTCTTTCTCGTTTCAGTATTTCATTCACTCTCAAGTTTATTCAATCACAGCGGCGTAATACGCTTCAGATAAATTCTTGACGGCGGCTTATGAAAAACCGCCGAATTTATATATGTATATAGTTCTGTAGCTTGTGTTGCAGCACTTCTCGACTGACATGGTAGCCAGGTCAGGTCATAGGCTAAGAGCAGCATTAGATGAACACACATGTATATGTGAATGTATATGTAGATATATTGCACGAGGATACAATCTCCAGATAAATCACCTTGCGAAAGCGGAACATCGAGAATTTTCATTCTTCTTTCCTGGTCCATTATATATATATATTTCCAATATCGTGATGCATTCTTTGATACGGATTTCTTTTGATCGTGTACTTACCACAAATTAAATAGCTGTTAATGCTGAATAGCCGTTCGTGGTTTGTCTTCAGCTCCAATATATATATATATATATATATATATATATATATATATATATATATAGCACTATTTAGGCAACTCCTGTTATATGGAACCATTCTCGTTATCGTAGGTAATGTCTGTTTATGTTTTTATATTGACCTTATTTTTTGGTTTTTAAATAATGACAGCAATAATTGAGATAGTAACAACAATATATATATATATATATATATATATGTATATATATATATAAAATGGGTATATAATATATAATGGGAGCAAACACCTATTTAAAATGGCTGACTGGTTGCTGTGGTTTTGAAAGCTGTTTGGTAACTGCTGCTCATTGTTCCGCGGTCGGTGAGTTTTTTTTTTCTGTGTCTTAACCAGCTATACTATTCTTAAGATTTGCACGCGCGATACCTGAAAGCAGGAACTGTCCCGTAAAAACAACATTTGCCGGAGTACCATGCTGCATTCTCTCGATCTCACCTTCGCTATCATTGAACTCAGGGGAACCTGTTTATGTTAAATTTCCCTAAATCATCTACGGTAGGTTCCTTTTAGGTCCATCTAAATTTTGTTTCTATCTACATTTTGCCTTTTAAACCGAGTTTCTCATAATATTATTGCATTATCGGCATAATCACTGACATCGTTTTCCAATGGCATGCGTACCATGCCTAAGATTCAACAACAACTGTTTATATAACTTTGGTTGTTGATTCATTTTATGATAGCAAGTGTATGTACTATTGCAACATCTCTTACTCTCTCGCCATTACTCTTGCTCAACGAGAGAAGGTCTCAGGCTCATGCTTGTTTTTGTCGATTCCGTTGGGCCTAACTCTATAACTGTCATGATTCTCCTTGATTCTGGGAGAATTCTTGTGTGCGATTGTAACTTTATAAACTTATGGCACCATTGGTACTTCAGATGATTCTTTGTATATTGCGTTACGCTTTGTTAGAGTTAGCAAAACAGGCCTTTGCAGCTCTGCTTCTGTACACAGCTGTTTTTGTGCTCCGTAGATTTACTTCACCGCCGCCTTCTAAAATAAATGTCGTGGAGGACGTTTGCCTGCCAGTGCGTTAAAATTCATATAAATATTGTTGTTGTGAGTATCACGATGAAGATGACGATTGTACTAGTGACGACGACCACAATTCTTATTTATTATCGACATTAATAATGATTTTAGTCGGCCATGTTAATATCGTGATCAGCCTGTTTTTTTTTTTTGTTTTAAAGGGCACGAAGTGAAAGACATAGATCTCATTGTCTGCGGGTACTCCTCTGTCTCCAAAATATGGCTCGTAGATGTATTTGATCATCATCAACAACACAATCATGCATTATGACGTCATTCATTAGCTGGGATAATCACTAGTTGTTGCTTGCTGCGGCGGCGGCGGCGACTGGTGATAGCTAGCTCCACCATTAAACTGCTTTCCTGACTCATCATTCTCCCTCTCTAATATGATTTGCTGGCGGTGTCGCTGGTAGAGTATTTATCGGAAAAGAAGGGTGAAAAATTTTTTGAATGGGTTGCAAAACCTGCGATATATTCTAAAGATGTTTGTGGCTGCACGCGGAGCTATGAGTTAAACCATTCGCTTTCGTCGTTATCGATCAATAAATAAATAAATGTCATTTTGATATGCTCGGACGAGCTCGCTCGTTAAGGATAGTTGTGAAGAAATATAGTTCTAATGATACGTTGTTGCTGCGTTGATGATGCGTACTTTCCATTTTCGCTTGGTAACTATGTAGCTGTTCCTAACACTTTATTTCCATCCACTGTTGAGGTATTAATGACCGTCAGAATTTGAGAAACGAAATGCAGTCTTATTTATGCAACTCTGCTCTTGATCTTTGCTATTTGAAATGAATACTATGCCATACTTAAGACTGCATACGTACTTTTGTGCATATGCGGCTATCTAAGAAAAACAATACGCTTTACTGTATATTTCCTATAAGATATGCTTAGATAGACACGAATGACGTAATAACCCTATAGCTAAGGCAATGATATGTGCTACGCTTTTTTTCATCAATGAGGATTCAGTTATTAGCAATTTCACATAGAGTTCCTGAATCACTACAACGAATACAAAGTTACAACACGACCCTGCTTTCCGTGTTTTAGATAGTATGCTTTACGCAGTAACGTTTCTTCACTTTGACAGCTTGGCGTACATTTTCATAGAACATTTTTTTGTTAATCACATTGCTGAGGTATTTTAGGTTATAGAGATAGATCAAAGTAGGTAACTATTTGTCTGTGTGATTAAGTGTCGCAATGTCTCCTTTTTTCTTTACCTGTTCCTTCTGTGCACCTTCTGTTCGTAATTTGTTAATCACTGCCATTTCCGCTGTTGCTACCATAACTGTCGTTTCTTTGATTAGGTGTTGAATGCATAATCGTAGCAGTTAGCGCGGCTGATTGATTGCTTGCTTGATGAGGTAGATACACCCTCGTGTGCTATCTGTACATCCCTGGATTTTTGTCCTGTATTTGCCACATAACTGCGTTGGGAGTACGTACGTGTTTTGTGAATGCTAAACGCATGTTTGTACATCGAAAAACATTAACAACACGTCTTTTTATCGCCATTATAAGTTCAGAGAGCCATCGTTGACTTCCAGATAACTGAACTTACAGCCCTTAGTTAGAAAAAATTTTGCAATATCAACGTGCTGCTCAATGTTTCTCAGTGTTTCGAGTTGCATTTATTAAGAGCGTTCCTTATTTTGAACGAGTTACAGAATAGATCAAGCAGTACTTGAAATCATAGTCTTAATAGCTCACTTAGATTGCCGTTTCGCCTTCGTTCGGATGCGAATTCCTTGTTTTATCCAGGTGTTTCTTAGCGTCCATTTCAGCCAGCTCATCTTTGGTGAGATGGTCCACGATGCCCGCACCGAATGCGTCTCCCAAGACATTTATTGATGTTCGAATACGATCTCTGTGAAAGCAAATCACTGATCAATTACAAAGTTGACACTAAAGGCGTAGAAGTTTGATTTACTGCAAGTTTTCCAGCCACTCGGCATCTAACGAATCAATACATTTGTATAATTCGTATGGATATCCTATGAGAGTTTCTTTTAATAAATACAAAAATAGTCACTAAATGTATTGTGTACTTAATTACTTTTAATTCAATCAAATGCAAAGCCACGCCACACTGATTTCGAGTGCCACGACTCCGCGATTTAAGCATTTACTATATATACATAAATGCACATGTGTGTGTTTCAGAGCTAATACAGGATAACAGAGTTAGGTAGAAGAAACGTATGTCTCATGTAAGACGAATGTTTACTTACTTTACGTGTTTTATCAAATACCATTGCGATTTATTCATAAGGTCAAGCTTCAAAATTTAGTCAACCAATTAAGACGTTTTTGATTGGTGGAAAATGCAGAAAATGGAATACATGCAGGCTGTTTCAAGCCTGGTGATAATGGAGAACATTGGCATAAAACTTGGTCAAATAGAAATGGGACCCTTAGCAGCTGAATCACCATCTTATTGCTAAACGTCATAAAAAAAATTACATAATAAGAATCACCTTAAGCAACATGTTATCGCGTTAAAATCACCGTTTGGATCGTGAGGATGGTGGGAGCAACTATTCTTTTTTTATCTAATACCCACCAAGCCGGTTGATTACAAAAAAAAACAGTATAATAGTAACAAAGTAAATTATAAAGCCGCGGATTTCTATGACGTTATTTCTATGAAACTAATTATGCCATTAAGTGATTCTTAATAAATATGTCGGTCAAGACAGATGTCATTGACATATTTTATCTCAAAACCGTCAGCTGTTTATGGTAAAAAAGTTTGAAAATATACAAAAGTTGTCAGAACGTAGCGACATTTTTATAATGATGTGATGGTCAAATAACGACATACGTCATTTTTTATAGTTTGTAAAAATGTGGACATTAATAAGCAGAGTTATGTAAAAAAATATATACACATAATAGAATTAACAAGTAAAGAACAAAGATGTAGGTTTGCCCTGTGTTACAAAGTAAGGTTCTAAGAAACAAATATATGATAATTTTTAGGAATCCAAATTTTGCGTAGTAATACTTACAGCATCCAGTCGACGGCGACTATCATCGAAATATCTTCGGTGGGCAGTCCTACAGAAGTTAGAACAAGGAGCATCGTTACAAGGCCGGCTGATGGAACTGAGGCAGCACCGATTGATGCTGCCGTTGCCGTCAAGGACACCGCGATGATCTGCCCGGGACTGAGGTAGATGCCTAACGCCAAAAAAGGAAAAGATGCGAAAATGTAAAAATGTTAGGGAAAGGAAAACCGTACGTTCTTATTTTGCTTAGACTTTCTACACATTTTCAGTTTCTCGCAGGATTGTGCTTGCTAAGCCCTGGACCAAATAACTGAAAACATTAGTTCACGTCTTATTTTTGTCTATGATTAAATTCCGCTTTAA